TGGGCTAGACACATGTGACGACCCCGGGCTGGACTCCGCTTCGTCCATGGTAAAAGCCGATCCGGTGATCCACAGCACTAAGTTGTTGTATTTCCTCAGCAACCAGCACGGATCAGCTCCAGGCCTCTTTTGGAAGGCCAAACAAAGTAGTTTTGCTTTCACAACGAAACACACAGTGCCTTCACGACATGGCGGCGTTAGAATGAGCCGTTTTAGGTAGGCGTGGTTTACTCTTAACTTTTATAAAGAATATCTCTTTGGATTTGAGACTTTAGTCTTTGCAACTTTACAGATCTTCTTTATACACCAAGAGCTTGTACACTCCAAAGAGAAAGGAAAAATTGAAATCGCATCATATGACCCCTTTAAACATATTTACTCTCACTTGCTTTTTTATTGTTTTAATCTGTCAAAGATCCAATATATCCATTCGCAAGAGCCAACACTAGTAAATCATGTTTTTCTCATCTGTGGAGAGTTTGCAGGACACAATAATAAGTATGGGATGATGGGTCGGGCCCACTGATGAACTGTTACTTGTCCCACTGGGTGCTATTGATCACATACAAGTGTCTAAGCCTTAAAAATGAAAGGTGCACTCAGTATTTTTTTTAGGTATCATTTCTGGCTATTATTACAAATGAAAAATCTACTGTTCTAATTAGATCTAATGTAATAATTGTAATTGCTTTACTGTATGTTGCAAAAATACATGTTGTTGAGCTGTGCCTTGTTCCTTCAAAACTTGTAAGAAATATGAGAAAACAATGAAACTCTCTGAACTGTAATTTTGCACTTTTAGTCTGATTTTCAATATGGTGTCAAAGACAAACGTAACATGAACAACCAAGTAAACTTGTGCTACTGCCTTCCTTGCATCAATATGATTTCACCTGCCATATGACCTCTGCATTAATATACATCTGGTTTAAATTACAAATATAGACTGGTTATCATACTTCATTATTCAGTCTTTATTATACTTAATTTATAAAAAAATTTCTATCAATCTATATTAATAATCAGATTAAATAGAAAGCAATAATAAAATTGCTTTCTATTTGAATAGATTTTAAAATGTAATTTATTTCTGTGATCAAAGCTGTATTTTCAGCATCATTACTCCAGTCTTCAGTGTCACATGATCCTTCAGAAATCATTCTAATATGCTGATTTGCTGATTATCAATATTTAAAACAGTTGAGTAAATTTTTTTTTTCAGGATTCTTTGATGAATAGAAAGATCCAAATATCAGCATTTATCTGAAATAAAAAGCTTTTGTAACATTATACACTATTCCATTCAGTATAATTTTTATTATTTTTTTGGGAAAGAAATTATAGAAATTAATACTTTTATTTAGCAAGGATGCTTAAAATTGATCAAAAGTGATGATAAAGGCATTTATAATGTTACAAAAGATTTCTATTCCAGATAAATAGTGTTCATATCGATATCGGAATTATATCGTATCGACCGAAATTAAGAAATATATCGTGATATCAATTTTGGCCATATCGTCCAGCCCTATTACAACTTAAAATAACTGTTGTCCATATTAAAATGCAATTTATTGCTGTGATGGCAAAGCTGAATTTTTTAGCATCTATTACTCCAATCTTCAGCGACACACAATCCTTCAGAAGTCATTATTTCATAAGCTGATTTTGTGCTGAAGAAATATTTCGTATCATTATCAATGTTCAAAATAGTTGTGCCACTTAATAATTTTGTGGAAACCATGATGCATTTTTTCAGGATTATGTGATGAATAGAAAGTTCCAAGAAACAGCATTTATTTGAAACATATTTTTTTGTAACAATTTAAACATTTTTTAAATCCATTTATTCTGACAGGTGTCACAAAAAGTATTAATTTCTTTAATAAATAAATAAACCTGACCCCAAACCTTTAAACAGTAAAGTGACTAACCCCTTTATGACAGGGGATAAATACTGAATATACTACTATGTAAACAGTAAATATCACATATGGGTTAGAAAATAAATTACTACTTTTATAACCATATTCATTGTTGAAAAAAAAGTAGTCTTAACTTAGTTGGTAAATAACATTAAAGGAGGGCTATGCATACAATAAATGACAAACCTTAAAACACTTAATGTCAGAACCAGACAGAAAAAAAACAGCCATACACACCACCTCCATCATAAGTGTCACAAGACAATGACACAAACTCAGTTTCCTTAAAAGAACTTGTTCCTGTTTTAAAGAAGCATTACACCAGAGCTAATTTTGTCTGTATCAAAGCAACCAAGATCCAAATTCTGAAGATATACAATTCTGAAGATACACAAATTCTTGTATTCAGATGTACTCACTGGAGGTAGGACTGCCAGTTGACCTTGTTTGCTCGGACCTCTGCGGCCTTTGCTGCGATGATATTGGTAGGGACGGCAGCGTCCACTGCCCCTCGGATATCCATCTTGAGTTCTTATTTATTAGGACCTTTAAACTGAACACAATATCAAATCGTGATGTGCTATCTCTGGAAAGGCCACCATGACAAATACTGCAGCATCTGTACTCATTCCAGCTAGCTCTCCCCGAAAAGAGTTAGAAACATAGATAACACAATGAAAAACAATGCTTAACACAGATTACACAAGATTACTGTGTAAAAACGACGGTGTGTTACTAATAAACCCTACAAATATGATTTAGCATAGCAGGGGTCGTGTATCAGCTAGCTAAGGGTGAACGGGTAAAAATGCGAATTATAACTTCACTTAAAATATAAATTAGGTAAACTAAACGTTTCAGTGGGTCTGGACACATCATTTCAAAATAAGATGATAATATTTGTTATACGTCTTCAAAAACAAGCAAACAAAATACTGAATGGACAGAGCCACTGACAACTGCTAATGCAGAAAACAGCGGGTTGGAAAGCTAGCGCGTAGGCTTTGTGTTTAGTCAGACATTGCTATACAGATAACTGACAATTATTTGTGAACCCGATAAGCAATATTTGTAGTAGAAATATTAGAAATATATTTGACTTCTCGCTTACCTGCTGCCTCTGCTGTCAAATTGCTACAAGACGTCACGGGATCAATGTCACGTGATGCTGTCATGTGAGAGGGCCCGCGAATTAACCCTTTAAAGAGTAGAGTCTTTTCAGTTGCGAGGATTTTCCAGTAGCCCCTCACTGCAGAACACAAGATCCAGGGGGCGTGGTTGGATCCACATCTAGGTGGTGGAGATTGGTAGGTTTAGGGGTGGAGATGGGTGGGTTTAGGGATCTGGGGGTGGAGACGGGTAGGTATATGTAAGGTGGAGGAGTTGGATCTGGATCCAACCACGCCCCCTGGATCAGTGACTCGAATCATTTGAATCAGTTAAAATGTGTTCACTGATTCCTTCAGTGGTGCTTTTATGGAAGTGAGGCTGTTACTGCTGGACGCGTTCATACGGAACACCCTGCAACGTCAAACACAGAAGAAACTGCAACGTCAAACACAGAGTCGTGCTTTGTAAAAAAATCTGAAGTATAATATAGGCCTACTTCTGTAAATAAATGTCCATACTTTCATTTAATATACATCTGTAGCCTATATAATACAATCATGTGTATTTACAGGTGCATCTCAATAAATTAGAATGTTGTGGAAAAGTTCATTTATTTCAGTAATTCAACTCAAATTGTGAAACTCGTGTATTAAATAAATTCAATGCACACAGACTGAAGTAGTTTAAGTCTTTGGTTCTTTTAATTGTGATGATTTTGGCTCACATTTAACAAAAACCCACCAATTCACAAAATTTATTTAATACACGAGTTTCACAATTTGAGTTGAATTACTGAAATAAATGAACTTTTCCACGACATTCTAATTTATTGAGATGCACCTGTACATCAGTGGTTCTTCAGCTTTTTGACTCCAAGCACCCCTATACACAATATTGGCTGAAATGACAATGGAACCAGATTAAAGTAGGTAACTACAATAATTATAATTCAAATAATTGTAATTAAATAATATACATTTAAAAAGAAATCATTTAATTAAATAATTATAAGTAAAATTATTGCAATTAAATAATTTTAATAGTTTAATTATTTGATTAAAATAATAATGTTTCAGAAGTTTTAAGAGCTGAATGTTTTTCATGGATCCCAACCTTTTTAACCAGTGAATTTACACGACTTTTCCAGTCATTAATGGTTTCCTGGATAAGAATTAAGAAAAAAATATTTCTTTAAATATTTTTACTAAAATTGACTGATAAAATTACTTGCCATTAGTATAAAAGGTGTATATATATATATATATATATATATATATATATACAGTGGGTACGGAAAGTATTCAGACCCCCTTAAATTTTTCACTCT